GCCAGTGCTGTTACCTACAGTGCACATTATTTATTTTGTCTCGCTCATATTCTACGCCGACTCCAAGCAGCCTCGGTGTAAAAGCAGATGAGATGTTTTATTTTTATCACTCACTTTTTCTCGTGAGAAAGAGAACCCCTTGGCCCTGCCCTCTCTACTGGCTTCTTCCTAGCACAGTCATTTGCATCTTGGCAAATGGGGTTTATAAAATGCTACTGAATTAAATCAGCAAAGTGTTTCATCATATTTATTTTGCAATCACTGTGATAGACTCTTTGCTGGTCTAAATAGCTGCAGTTTCATTGATTCCAGTAGAGTTTTCCTTCTTTGCTTGAAAAGGGAACTGGCTCAACCCAGACAGGTGGCCAGAAGTCATTAGAGATGACAGACAGCAGAGGATCAGCCCCGGCGATTTCAGGTCTGATCGCAGTTGTTTGCAATTCTCCTGTGCACACATAGAAGACACTTCATGTGTTAAAACTTGCTGCAAGCCTTTGATATCTTTGACCTTTTTAAAAAAGTCTTTTAAATTTTGATATTCCCTCAGAAGACAGATGGTATTTTTTGATTGAATAGATAGAGATTTCATGTCTAAACACATATCTTGGTTTCACTTTGTTGGACTTGTTAACTGCTCTCTGTATGTTCTATGCTGCTCACAATCTTTTCTTGTAATGTTTTTGAATAATACTGTCAAAAAAAGTTACAAAGAATTAAATGTGTAATTTGTGCAGAAATGCCCCTGAAAAACATTAGTGATGTTCTGCTAGTGTCTCCCTTTGGATGCAAATGTGGCTATTCAGGTACATACAGTCCCACCTGCAAAAAAACTTCCAAGCCAAAAATTGCCCTTGATACCTTCTGATTGGAACAGATGTTTGACTCCAGGTGCCACGAGTAACCAGATACAGATCCTCTGGAAGTAGGTAGGGAAGCTGTGAAAAAATCGCAAAGCCTAGCAAAAGGTTTGGCTCTGGAGAGGGTGAGAAAGAGCCCTCCCAGTACTGACGCTGAGCCCCGGATGCGCTGGGTGCAGTCATCTCTCTTGGTTGCAGTCTCACGAAACAACAGCTGAAATACCAGAACTGGTGCCCTATTTTCTTCTTCCATCACCTGAGTCATCTGAATACAGGGAAAGTGATACATTTTCAACAAAATAAGGAAATCCCTCTGAGCAGTTCTCATTTACAGCACAATCATAAAAATCCTGGCAGAAAATCAAACTGTTTCCATATCAGTTGAGCACACAGCATTGCTGGAACAGTCGGTGTCAACAGTTAAATAGCTGGTGCAGGGGCAGAAGACAGAGGCTGCTGTGTTCTTGGTGCTGCAGCTCAGACAGAAGATGAAATCATGGTGGTTTAACACTTGATGAAGACTTAACTACTGATTTTCCGGCTTTCTGTTTATGCTGGAATAAAACCTGCTTGTGCTTGAGTTTTGGTTGTTAGGAATGTGTATGTGTGTGTTTGGCTCTAATTATTTAACAAAATCTTCAAACCCAAGAAATACAACTACCTACTTTTGCAGAGCTGTAGCAGAACATAGCTACAGTCTTTGCTTGGTGGCGAGATGGTTGCAGCGCTGTATTTGTAAGGACTTTTTTTTGCTATAATGGTCAGCGAGTGATTTTGAATGTCTTATAAACAAGTGCGTGGTACAGGAAAAAAACAACAGGCCATATTTTTGGCCTTGGCCATATTGTTTATGCCTTTAGCAAGTGCCACTTCTTAACTTATTCAGTATTTAAAGCATGTTTTCCCTGCATAGTACAGACGCAGGACATGTGGCTGAAACTGAATATAGAGCATCAGATGTTTATTGGGGAGGTGGAAAATAAGTCTGCTTATTGTAGTTTCAGATTTTGGCTTGGGTCAGGAAAATTTTTTTCAAATTTTCAAAGCATTTTGGTATATTGATCTTTGTGACATTTTTGTGTTTATTTCAGATGCTGAGGATAAAGGCAATAAGAAAAATTTCCAAACAGATTCTACACTTAGTCTGAATTAAATCAAAAGCCAGATTTCATGCAGGGACCTTAAGCATTTGGTACTTTAGGAGACAACAATTTCCAGAAGGGTGGTTTTCTTTGGTGGTATTCTGAATGTCCCAGTTCTTGGCTGCCAGACTTGTAGGTTGAGAAACTTTGAGGCTGCCTGCTGATCCGTATCATCTGAGATCTGAGTCTGCTTAATTAATCTCAAATTGAGCATCCAAAAGCAAAAACACTCCGACTCATTAATCGCTGTGAGAAATCTTGGCCTAACCATATCAGTTAAGAACAATAGTTCCCTAGCAGAAAAGAAATATGACGTTGTATTTCCAGTGACAGTCATGATATCATTGGTCACTTACATTTGTTTATCAAAGATATGCCCTTTTTTCACTCTGAAGATGCAAATCAACATCACTATGACTCTGGGTACCTCGTGTGTCTGGTGTTCCTATGTATTTTAGACTAATGTTTGATGACATGTCCTTCAAAGGTCTCTCTAAAAATCCAAGTCTTGGTCTAATAAGATTAAGACTTTGCTGAAATACATTGTATATGGGGTGCTAGAATATTTACACTAATACTCTGCTACACTGCTACACAGCAGAATATTAGTGTAAAACTGCTATTGCTGCTAATAGACTTCGGGTTCATTATGCCATCAGCTGAAAGTTTTAGTCTGTGACTTTTAGAGAGGGGTTTTTTGATAAAACTAAAAGGTGTTGCAGAAATAAAATGTGGAACATTTTGGAGAAAAGTGCAGTGCTATACAAAATCTATTGGGCACTGTTTGTACAGTCAATTGTTAAGTTATAAATAGAATACAGCCTTAAAACAAAGACGAAGGCGTAAAACTGTGGGTAGTTATTTCCTCTATATTTCTATTTAAAAAAAAGGTTTCCAAGTTTGTTCCAACAGTCACATTTTGGATTGGTTATTGATATTCAGAGTGTTGTGCCTATTTTTGAATGTATCCTTTGAAGACTCTCTCCTCTGCCACACAGAGTGCCATTTCCTCCAGTAAATTTTCTGCAGGCTGCAGGACTGTTCTTAAAGCTCGGTGAGGTGCCCAGGCACAGCCAAGGGAAAACCACAGGGAGGCAAATTGAGCCTCTGTCATACTGAATTTCCAGGTCCCAGAGCTCCTGAAGAACAGCCTGAGTTGCCTCATCGACATAAGGTCCCTCAGTGGCTGTTCCAGTTTGGCACCTACCGTCGTGGTAGTTTCCCCCATCCCAACTGAACCTCAGCTCCCATTTCTTTTAGGTGGAGGGCACCGAGGTTTGGCACAGGGACCAGCTCCACAGCCTGCACCAGATGGATGCAGAGACAGAGAGGTCCCTTGAACTGGGGAAATGCTGAGCCCATGTAAGATCATTAAAAAAGTTCAGTGGATTTAAGAATACAATCCATATACTCTTCAGAATAATTTCTTATAGGTCTTTGCATTGGTGCTCAGAATGAGGTGAGAAAGAGGTTTCTCCTTAGAGCCTCTGAGCAGGCTTTTTATCCATGGTGGAGGTATTTCCTGAACGTGAGTAGGAATGGCACAGGGTGGGCCTGATGAAGCAACAGGGGTAAAATATATAATTTCATTATAGGTCATGGGCTAAGCATCCCTTGCAGGTACTGCAGAGTGCCTGGTTTGAAATCTCCCAGTTCTCCTACAAGCGGAGCTGACGCAGAGCTGTGATACTGAGCAAAAACATTCTGGCTGCTGAAGAGGAAAGACATGACCAGTTTGAACTTAGAAGTGAAACATTTCCTAGAACTGAGTCTGAATAAATTCTGGAACAGTTGAACAGGAAATAAGCTAGTAATGGGATTTTACAATATGCATTTCCCATATAAGGCATTGAAATGTAGCATGGGTTTGTTTGCTGATCTTCTGGCTATTTTGATGAAAATTTTAGGTTTCTTCACTGTTCACGCTCCATTATGATTGTGAGGACTTCGCTCCGTTCCAGGCAGAAGCATTTCATCTCGGCACTGTCATCGGTGGTCTCTGGATGGACCATTCCTAGACCAGACCAGGGAAGAGACTAGTTAACAATTCCTCCTTGCTGTCTTTTGTTTGTGTCGGGGAGCTATTTCCTTTAGCCCTTGAGACTGATGCATAGGAAGGGGAAGAGAGGTGGGGAGCGCCCGTCTTGGTGCGGTTCATGCTTCTGAAAATAAGTTCCCCAAAATCTGATGTGGGGAAAGGAAACTCTGGCTCCAGGGAGCCTGCTGTCTCCCTCAATAAACAAAGGACTGGATTTGGGCAAGTTGCCCGAAGTGTTGGTGCAGGGTGCATTCCCGTCCTTACTGCTCTGCCTGGCCTTTTAAGGATATGTGACAGTATGCTGGAGACCACAGTAAGGTGTGTAATTCAGCGGTGATTAATGAGCACAAGGCTCTTCTGCAGCTTCGGTGTTCCTGTAGCATTGGTCAAATTCCCTTCTCACGAGTAACTCACTAAGATTTTCAGAGTTTGGCCTCTCTGCACTGTGAGTGCAATCTCTTGCCAGGTCTTATGCTACATTAATTTAGAGCCATCTACCTTTCCAAATCTGCTCTGTTTTGTGGAACAGGTTTTGCTTGTAAAGGTGAGGCCAGATGTTCAGAAGAGGAGAGCTCCCGTTTAGGCATCTACCAATTACTGCTGTGACACATACCGATCGCAGCTGAAAATCTGAAATCTGTCTGCTTAGACAATAAAATACTCAGGCTGGCTAGTTTGTGCAGTGCCGTAAGAAGTGGCCTATATGCATATAATTCAGGAGTTCTTTCAAAATAGCATGCACTGAATCACGGTCTCACTTAGTTTTAAACCACAGCTTGTGCCTAACTACGTATTTTGATTTCTTGCCAAGCAGGGGCTCATTTCCCAATTACAACTAATATTTTCCTTTTCTTTTTCTGCAAAATCTGTTAATGAAGGCTAAATGAAACAGTGAAGGTAGGTCTACTGGCTAGATAAGAAATAGGTCTGATTCATTAATAAACATTTCTTTTTTTTCCCCAGTGACATATTCGACGCCATGTTCCCCGTCACACACATCGCAGGAGAAACAGTCATACAACAGGGTAATTCTTCCTCTCATTTTTTCCCTTCTATGTTTTCTAAGATCATACGATTCACATCTCTCCATTTGAGATCTCACCCTCTTTGCTTAACGGGAAGAATAACCGTATTCCAAAAGCTTTTAAGTGTGCAGCTGTATCATAAGTTCATGGATGCAGGTCTTTTGCTACATGTGCAAGAGGACTCCTACAAAGCCACACTGGTAGATCCTCCAGGGTTTCAAAGTGTTACAGTTAAATGTAGATAAATAGCATGTCAAATGAAAACGTTCATTCCTTAACAGAAGATAGTCAGGAAGTAAACCACAGTTGAGAATGCATAAGGGTGGCACAGGCTAGCTGGGAGTAATTAGAGATGGAAAATATTTTTATGGTTGTTGGGAATATTCAACACCTCATTGTGCTGTATCGTAGTTATCGCATTTGGCAACTTACCTGCATGCCTGCAGCATGTTGTGGAGGACTTCATTACCCTCAGGCTATATTAAAGCCTCTTGTGTGTTTACACTGAATGAAGTGTTGAACCCATCAAAAGAGATAAATTAATGCAGTTGAAAGTTATTAATAGGAAGAAATCATAGTGATATTTTGATTTACAAAGGCAAATAGGCAAGGATGTTTCAGAAAATGAATCTCTCTAAGTAATCTGGTGTACAAACCTGTGCAAATATGTGCAGGATTAAATATGGAGACAGGAAATTATTGAATAGCTTAGCAGACCTTCAGGAAACAATCACCTTTTGTATTTTCTTTCCAGGTGATGAAGGAGACAACTTCTATGTGATTGACCAAGGCGAGGTAGACGTAAGTACACTCTTACAGTACAGTATTTATTTGGAAGCTACGTAATAAAATTGTGTGCTGTGGCACACAGCTTGATCCAGCCATTTGCTGTGGTTCTGTCGCCTTTCTTCTTGAAATAGATTTCACAGGATTGGTCTCATTGCTTTGCTTTTGTTGTGTTAAGTCATTTGCGTGTAATTTTATAATTGGCTTGTTTTACATCCTAGCTTATTTGTCCATTCCAAGCCGGAAAGCTTGGTATCAAAACCAAGCAAATGACATTATCTTCAGAACCCTAACCACACCTGGAGGTGTGCAGTCTTTGGCAGAGCAGGCCACCGTGCTGGAATGCACCCGAGGGTTCAGATCAACCATAAGGAAAATATTTTCTTTAATCAGTTAGCTTAGCTCATGTGTTGTGTTTTTTTTTTTTCATCAAATTGAGATGCAGCCTGAGGCAGCGAGTTTCATCTTAGAAACCTTAATTTGCTTTTAAAATTAGGTCCAAATACACGAACAATGCAGCATATTAATAAAGCAAGGATTATTATAAGTGTAAAGTGATCTGTTAGACCACAAAATGTTTACGGGAGTATGCAGTGGTTTAATCAGCAAGTCTTCGAAAAGAAGCTTCTTTCTGAACCTGCCTTCCAAATCATAATCTATTCAGCTCATCATTTTTATCCCATATGAAACTCACTCTTTTGCAGTTTTGCTACAAGTTCCTCATTTGACTGAATTTTCTACACACACCTTACATATCCACAGCTGTTGGATAGGACAGGCTTGCTCATTAGCAATGTTGCTCTTTGGATGCCCAGATGAGTTTTGTTTGGCATATTTAAAGAAGAAAGTGATTTATTTTAAATCCGGGCAGGACACATACAGTTATTTTAGTGAAAGTTATTTTTTTTAGCAGTCTGTTTGTGTCAGAAGACCATCTAATTGGTATTGTTGGGAATTGAGAAACCTCACATGCTGCCTCTGCCTCTGGAAGTTGCTTCTCAGGAAATCCGTCTGACTCACTGTTCCTATCAGGCATACCTCCCAATAGCAAGTGTTGCCACATCCACAGGGCCAGAAAATAAAAGAGCAGTATTTATAGAACAGTGCTAAAATTTAGTTTTAAAATAATTGGTTAGGGGCCGATACTGAGCTTAATGAGTTCACTGGCTTTGAATCAGACCCACAAACATACGCAAATGCACTCATTGAAGTTATAGATTAATCCTCTTCAAAAATAATTTGTCCTCCCTCAAAATCTTTGGGAAAGTTTTCTTCAGCATCTGACTGAGGGATAGAGGGGGACCAATAGACATCAGAAAAGAGTCAGCAAAACCCTTGCAATTAATTGCAAAACAGATACTCTTCCATATGCACATATCACTCTTACAAAGCAGTGACAAAACGGGGAAAATAAATGTCCTGCTTGTAAAACCATTGCACAAGGTGGTTTGTGGGTTTTCTGTAACTGGTGGTTGCCACTAATGGCCAAGGTGGCCGTGGGTCTGCAAACATTGGACTTGTTTAGAGCACTGGTTGCTGTATTCTCTGTCAGGTAAGACAGCATCTTAGTTTGCTTACCAGGTATATCCTGACATCTACTGAGAAACACCTTTACTGCATCATACTACTTGTGTATCAGAGATTCTCCTTGTTTTTATGGCAAGTTGAAATTCATAAATAATCTTGGCCACAAATGGCCCAAGAAGAGATAATGTGTCCAGATAATTTTTCATTGATTGTTTTTTGAGTTCATTAAAGTCTTTTGCAGAATAATCTTGTTTTTCCCAGAACAATTCAGGGACCTGTGAGACTTCTGAGGTAGGATTTGGGGTAAAATTTGGAAAACTACCATAGTGACTGAATGGCCTCAGTGCCACTGCAGTGCAATTACATATAAGCTCTTAAGCTGGATAGATGTGAAAATTTTATCCCAGACTCCTGATTTGACAAGCTAAGCACCAGTCCTCCTTTAAGCACCTGAGCAATTCTATTGACTTCAGTGGGACTTGCTGTTTTGCTAAATAAAGAGTGTAGTGCACAGCTTTATTTTACACTGTTAGAGTTGAAGGCAGAAGTTTTCTTTGCATTCTGAGTAGCATGCAGTCCTCCAGTCACTTAGGTATGGTATAGGATATTTTTCCTGCCTTGTCTATGAGACTTGCAACAGCAGATTTTCTAAGCAATGAATGAAGTAACTGGGTTTCTTTGAGTAGATCTCAACTTCACATTGACAAACATTCTCAATCTCTACTCCTCTAATTGCCAAAATCAGCCTATATCTGCTAGGACAGCTCAAAATGGACAGATCTGCAATAAGGTCATCTTGTTGACACTTCTGAGACACAAGTATGGACAATTTTCTGACATGAGCTGTGGGACAAATACATCCTAAAAAGTCTTAAGTGATGCCATTTGGACTGAGCTTATTTCAGGAGCAGCCAAAGCTCCTGACCCCTCTGAGTCCTGCAAAACTCTTCTGTGACCAACTCTCATGCTGTCCCCCTCCTACTCTCCCCATCTTTTCAGCTGGGTCCTCTCTCCTTCCTAAGCCTTTCCTATAACTACAGCCAAAACACGCACTGAATTCCTTTGCAAGATACCGTGGAAGGCGCAAGAAACATTCGCTCATCCAGGAGCAAGTTGCAACTACGCCCTGGTAGCTCCAGAAGTTACCAACTTAAACTGGCTTTGCTGGGAAGCTGCAGGAAGGCGACCCCATTCCCCCCCAGAGTAAAATCTGTACCAGGGCAGTTAGTGTGGAGTAACTTGCTGCTGTATAAGGCAGCAGCTAGCTCCCAGACCCCATGGGTGTGCACTATCACACCGTATATAGTGCTCCCCAGAAAAGAGTTTTTCCACTTTCTGGGCAGCAGTGCTAAAATCCTTATTGTCTGAAGAAAATCCAGACTGCTAGTAAGTGAGCTGCAGTTCATTTAAGCCTTGCCAGATACTTTTTTGGCATGGTTCCATCCTTCTCCAAGAAAAAAAGCGACTTGGAGAGTAGACAATTGACCCCGAGACTTAAAGCCTCAAGCCATTTTCTGCCTATTTTAGCTGGTGTTGGCATATGCATGGAGGCTTTTAACCCCTGGCCAGGCTATCTGCCTTCATCATTTCCCTCATCTCCACAGGAGTACCAGGTCTGGTGGGCTCAAGGAGCAATTTACTCTGAGAACATCATGACTGATACGCACGCAGGTTTTCTATACACATGCAAAGATACACGTAAAGGAAGTTGCAATTGCCATTGTCAAATTCCCATCCCCTGGAAGAAAATCATGGCAAAACTGGAAAAAAAAAAATCAACCAAGCAACCCAAACCAAACAGAAACCACCAACAAAGCCAGAATAATAAAATCAGTGTGTGGTATTTTGAGTTTAAAAAACTGCAACATTTAAAAGTAATTTACTGTTAGACTTTTGGCATAGACACCCCAAAAAGTATTCTAATATTAAAAAAGCATTCTAATATTTTCCCTCAAAAATAATCTGAGTCAAATTAGAAGTACAATAAAATATTTGAAAATATAATACCATCTTATCCTCAACTCTTACACTTTCTTAGGGTACAAACAAGCCTCATTAGCATAGAATAAAGTATCTGTACATTTCCTTCTTGGTATTACTATGGACAGCCAAAGAAGAGTCGGTACATTTTCGCTGGCAAGCACGCTCAACATAGACTGTGCGCCAAGGGAGAAGGCCATAAATTTTCATATGTAAAAGAAAAGGTTTTAGAAATCAGGAAGAGGTAGGTTTTGGAGAGCCTGGTGTTTTCCTCTCATCTACTGTATACGACAAACCAGGTATACTTTGACCAAAGCCGGCATTGGATGGGAAAGAACATGATAGCATCATCAGTCAGTGTCTTCCTCCTTAGCACTTCAGGGTTGAGAGTTGTTAACTCATGACCCAGCCCTGCAGATGGATAAAGTTTGTACTAGGTAGATGATGGCATGAGGTTTGAAGTCTTAGAGGTCAATTGTCTACCGGAAACTTTTCTGCTCACAAATGTGAACCTATGCCAAAAAGTAGCTGGCAGAGCTTAAATTATAGTTTCCAGTAAAGATTTTGAAAGTACCTGCTAAAGTATGCGTCTTGCAAAAATCTCTAATCCACATTTCTAAATATAAAAATGACTTCCTGTTTATTATTTTAATCTTATAACCTCACATTTTTTACTTTAAAAAGCACTGTCAACTACCCTTTTAAAACAGATGTATTTTTTTTAGACTCAACAACTTCCTATTCTATTTAATGTCACAGCAACTTTCTCTACAGTCATTCTCAGGTTTTCTTCTTGTAAAATAACAACAGCCAAACTATAGTATGGTGAAAATCAAAATGAAAACTTTTCAGTATTTTTTCTTAAATAGGTTCTGTATTTACTATATAAACCTGTATGTGGAGCTATACATTAATATTGGTGACAATAGATAAGATTATCTTTTGATTGTAGGTCAAATCTTCTTGAAGCCTTCATCGTATATACAAACTGTCTAAATTGTATATACAAAGACGAAAATTAGATGGTGGTTTGTGTGAGAATACTATTGGATTTTAAAACTAGTTATATTTTATGGTTAGATTCCATAGATTGCTTTTGGTTTGAATTCTTCCATCATTAATGATCTTTCTAATTTCAGAAGGATGCTTTTTGAAATTTGAAACAGAACACTTTGAAGTTTGGAGTTTTTCAGCTTGAATTTTTAAGGATTCTCAACGTAGTCTCCAAGTTTGTATATTTATATTTAAGAAAAGCAAATTCATACTACAAAAGCACTGGCTTTATTTGAGAAAACTACCCACATATAAATACCCTTCATGTCTAAGACTTGCTTATTTTTCCAAGAATAAATAAACCTCATCTTCATTTTTGGGTAACAAATATTAAGACTTGACAAGACACAAAGCACAATTTATTACAAACAGATCTGAGGGAGGGGATTTAAGATCTAAAAGTTGCAATGCCTGGAACAAATTAGATTGTCTGCAGAGATCACAAAGTGGCAGCAAAAAAAATGCTAAAAGTCAACTTGAAATCAGCAATACAAAATTAAAGTAATGGTAAATTCACTCCAATGAAGCTCAGAGATAGATGTTTAAATCCTGCCTTCAAAGTAAAATGACTATATTACTGCTCGTGGTAGGGTTATTTTCTGCTTCTCTAGACAACACGAAGATGAGTGAGGCCAAGATGCATTCCTATTGCATTGAACATTGTGTGACTCATTGCATTTTCTCTCGTAGTTAGTGCCTATGTATATCAGCCCATGAAGAAAGGAACTGTTGATGATCCTGGAGATTTTTCCCATTTGCCTCCTAAAAAAATAATGAAATGAACCAAGTTGTGATTTTCAAGCCCGCAAAAATTGCAGTGCTCATACTACATTATGGAAAACAATAGAAAACTATAGTACTTCTGATCTGTGGAAACTAGGTGGTCCTGATGGCTTGGTCTTATTTGGGCATCTTGCAGTTCTACATTCCTCTTCAGCTGCATGAAAGAAGAAGGTTCCAGCTATTACGGAGCTGTAATCGGCAGGTCAAGTAACAATTAGGAATAATTCACTTATGTACTCGCCGCTTTGGTAAGAGTTCACAAATGCCTAAAACTACCTGAGCCAAAACCTCAGCCTAGCATTTTTTAGGATAAAGAAGGAGATCATCTGAGCTGCTGCCATATAACATTGGCTTTCGTAAGCTGCTCTGAACCTAAAATAGCTTTACTTCCCACACCTTACAGAGCTACTTTCCTTTCTACTTTTTTAAAAAATCTATTTTAAAGGGATTCATAGTAGAGCTGAACTCTCTGTTAAAGGGCAGAATGGCTTTGTAATGTGCCATCAAGGCATTTTAACTTCCTCATGAAGACAAAAGTTGATTGTTGACTTAGGCCTTTGCAGATGAAGTGCAATGGTTTTCCTCCTAGAAAACAACAATTATTCTCAAGCCATTTTCTCTTTTGGAGATCAATATTGGAAATGGCATTTTTATTGGGGGAGTGAATGCTGGGCCTGAAGACTGTCAGATCAGGGATTTGATTTCACTTCAGAGTACTTTAAACTTGACACACTTAGGGTGGAGGAATTGCTATTTGCATAAACTGTTTACAGGCGAGATGTTTTGGGGAGTCTTGTCAAGTAAGACAACAAAATTAAAGAAGTCTTACAGCAGTTTAGTAGTAGTCTTTCTTTATAACAACCATGAAACAGCAGATGTCCATCCTTCACTTGCTCTACCTTGAGTTTTACCAGCGTAATTCCCCTCTCTGGGCTGCAGTCATATCATGCATACTGCTTTAACAAGAACTGTCATCATACTGCTTAAAAAAATATGTGTTGGAATGAGTTTATTTCCCACTTATAATTCAGACACTTCTGCTATAACAAAACCTGTGCTTTTCAACAAAAAAGCGTATAGAAACACATGTATTTTTGGTGTATTGAAAGAGAGTCAAGGGAGTGATGTCAGTTGACAGTCAGGATGCGGTCCAAAACTCACTGAAGTTACTAGATTTTGTCCGTCGTCCTTGAGACTTTACTGAGGACATGAATTACTTTATTGTAGCAAGCCCAGGGTCCAGGGTCCATCTGGTGAAATCCCCACAGAAAGGGGGTATCCCTACACTCAAATATGGATCTGGACAATTTTGCAATAGATTGACTTAAAAAATGTCCATACATTCTCATTATTTTACAAGCCTTTCAGAATCCTAATTTTATTAATCCGTTTCTCCTGCCTGTCTCACAAAAAAAGATCCAGTATTACCTGCTTGTTTCACCAAGAAAGTGCTTGGGTTTGCCTGGCTTTCTTAAAACTTGCTTTCATTTTTTTCATCATAAGGAGAATCAAAAGTAGATCTGAGATTTTCTTTCTGTGGCGAGTGTAAAAGTTTGAAAGCAAATGCTGCTGTTATTCTCCTGTGTAATATTCTCATATGTGATATTTATTCTGTCACGGCAAAGAAATGAAGCTATAGCTTTTGTGACTTGAGCTCTTTCTTGGCAGTCTGCTACCACCTGCCAGTTTGGGATTATTTTTACCATTTATTTCAGCCCCTTGATCTTCAGATGCTCCAGGAACACCAAGAACCACATTGCCTGTAGTTCAGCAGTGATGCTAATACTGCTCCTTTTCAGCTGATACCCAAGAGGTCTTCTGATCAGCTGAACTGCCCTGTGGCCTCATCAGTCTCCTACTGAACCAGCATTTCACTGACCTCAGCAGGAGCTTGATCAGATCTTAATTGAATATTGGGAAGATAAATTGGGTTTGATTCCAGCTGTAGTTTGTAATATACCTTTTCATCATAAAATGAAGAGAGAAGTAAAATTAATACTGACAGTATGTTGAATTTTGACCCCAGTTCATTTATTTTGGTCACCATCTTTTCTCATGCCCAGCTTGAACACAAGCTCTAATTCATGTGTTTTTAAAAAACTGCTAGCCTGTTACTTGGTAATTGGTAATAGGTTATGGTCTTCTCCTTTGCCATAGTTTTCTGCTGAAGATGAGAATATCTGCATATTTTCTTCATATTATTTTTCTTCACAGAGCTTCCAAACAAATGAAGTTCATTCTAGTTGATTTCTGCTGTTACTGGCCTGTAGCAGATTGGGATATGTTCTGTACTGCGTAAATGCACACAGCCTTTCCTACCCTCTAAACTCACAGACATATTAACAGAATGAAAAGGGTTTATTGTGAAGGTTTATAGCAGCAAGCCTACAAGCAAGCTGCAGAACACACAACCCATACCAGTCTTTGAATACACTATTATGTCTCATGAGCTGTATTGTCCATGAATAGTGAGGAAAATGCAGCCCAGGGGAAAGCACCTGCACAAGTCTCCCTTTCTCCAGTGAAGGTTTTACATAGCACTCAAGTGGAGGAATTCTTCTCAAATTAGATGGCATCCAAGAAAAATACGGTGGTAGTGGTATTGATCCATACCATGTTTCAGGAGGATAAGTTGTCCAAATAGACTGTGGGTCAAATACTGCTTCATAAGTTCTGTAGAGCTGATGTCAAAGACGAAGGATAATTTTGTGTATAGCTTCTCAAGTCCAAAGCACTTAGCAGTCTTCACTAAGGGGAAGGAGATCTCAATAGTTATATTTAAATGGCTGTTGGAGACACTAGCCTTAGAGAAGAAGAAAATGTTCCTTTTCAAAAGATGTTTCCCTGTTTTGACTGTTTTTCATTTCATGGCCGTGGTGCTTTTCAGCAAACCTCACTACACATATCAACACATCTCCTTCCCTTCAAGTTTGACAGTGTTAATAAAAAGCCAAAGTTGTGACAGTTCTGCTTGTTGACTGTCTGAGCCTTGAACACAAGATGGAAAACATGATGCCAGTTAACCACAGGAGTTGAAAACTCAGAGTAAATACAGTCATTGTACTGAAGCAAGACGACTTGAAATTCTGTCCACAAAGCTGGTTGTTGCCCTCTTTGGGGACTGACTGTGGAAACTGTTACGCTTTTGTTTTCCTTCTGTGTCCCCAGCATTGATGATTAGAAAGGAAATTACTAATAGCTTTTTAGGTAACTGGCAGTAGGAGGAACACTGCAACTAAGTCCCCAAACTGGTTTTGCTTCTTGTTTTGTCTTGTGCTGTGGTAGGTTTATGTCAACGGGGAGTGGGTCACCAGCATCGGGGAAGGAGGCAGCTTTGGGGAGCTGGCATTGATCTATGGAACACCCCGGGCTGCCACCGTCAAGGCCAAGACAGATCTCAAGCTCTGGGGCATCGACAGAGACAGCTACAGACGCATTTTAATGGTAAGTTTATGGAGAAGGGCTTGTTTATAGATTTGATAATTTTGCTTTCTCTTGTAGTACCAGCACTTCTGTTCTGTGTTCAGAGTACACTGATGATAAAAGGCTGCGCGGTCTGTGTTTCTCCATGTAAGAGAGAGAATATGACAATAACATCGAGTACCTAAATTAACTGATGACTGATAACTAAATGAACTGAAGGAAAAGGGGACAAGATTCAGCGGAAAGATGCTGAGTCAGAAATACAATTGAATGGCATTATTCATAACTATTATACGTGACTGAAAACCTCAGGAGGCCTCTGTTACCCTCTGAAGCTATGCAAATCCTTTCCTTCTCATTGTGAACCTCAAAATGTCTTTCAGCACTACCCCTTGCCTTTGAGGTCTTTGAACTTGTATTATACTCTTTAAGGCAGGTAATACAAGGTAAATCCAGCTCTGCTAAAAAAAAATCTCGGTTGGACTGTGCCCTACATCTTCATTAGCCAGCACACAGCCACATGTATCATAGGATGGTAGCAGCAGAGTCCCTGCTAATGATTCATTGCTCTGCGACTTTCAAAATCCCTCATCTCTGCAGCAAAGTTCAACAGATGTTCTGGGCACCTGGGGTGTGTGCTAGCTTATAGATTTGCTGTTAGTTCTTGAGTGGTGAGTTTATAATGGAAACTTTGACAGAAAATTGCATTTAGCAATGTCATAACTTTTTTTGTTTCTGATATCCATGTGCATATCTTCCTTCTCTATAAAATATTCCTTTCTTTTTGATAATTAACAGACATAAATCAGTGTGAAGCTTCTTTCTCAATAGGACTTGTCTCTAAAAGCTGCATTGTTTCATTCTGATCTGAAGGAAATGACACTATGGTCTCAGCATAATAAAGGAGTGTGCATTTTAAGATCATCTGTATTTCCAGTGGATGTCATGGATAACAGAAAAGTTAGCGAAAGGCTTGAGTAGATTTTACACTTAAATGATTAATTCTTAAGCAACAGTGTATTTATACTGTGTGATGACTGTTGGGTGTTTGTATGAAACGTTGCTGGTTTTCACTCTGTATTTCATGGGCTGAGTTCTGTATCCCATAAACAAACATCACACTAACACCTAGGAGAGTACATCTGATGGAAAGGTGCTCTATCCCCAAATATGCAACCTGATCGCTCCAAGACAAAATAGAGGAATAATGACGAGAAGCACACTGTCTTCTCTCTTTTGGATATGCAGGATGAATACTTTTTGAATGCTTCGCAGTGCGGGGAAGCAGGCAGTAGTAACTGAGACCTTTCTGCAAGATATTTCTAAAACATAGAGCAGGAGAATTTCCTAACAGATTTAAGGGGCACACCCGAATTTATTCGTCCCATGTCCTACACGGATGCAATGGAGAGGTGTCTAGGATAACTGGTGCGATCAACCTGCATGCTGCGAGCAAGAATCCAAGGTATAAAAGAAAAGAAATGTGGGAGGGAAGTAAATGTCAGGACAAGCCACATGTTCCTTGGCTTTTTAAGCGTAGCTTTTTACAGCTGCCTGTAACCTTGCTACTAAGGACTTGAAGGGACAGATTCACAGGCCTTCTAGCCTAGAGGTGATTGCAGTTTCAGTGTCGATGAAAACAGTGGTACCTAACATCATTCAAGCCTGTGAGCAGTCAGGTTTGGTCATGTGTCCATTACCATCTGACAGCAACCTTCAGAAGATGAGTATTTGACGCAGAGACAGGATTTTTCTAAAAGGGTTTAAAGTCCCGAGTGGAAAAGACTGTGGTTTTAATCTAGCTTTAGCCATACATACAACTTGAATGTTACAGATACACTTCTATTTGTTTCTAGTAGAGTGCCAAGTGCTTTTCAAACTAATTTACATATTCTCTGAACCAGTGACCACTGTACCTTACCTAGCAAGCTCAGTTTCTGCAGCTGACGAGACCTTTAACTTAACACAGAGGTTTTTTTCTCTCCCTCTCTCTCTTCTTGTGGTTTTTACAGTTGAGGCCATTAAAAATTGGTGGTCTGTTGCATTACATTAGATACCCAGACAGTGTAACTGTAGTATTCCCAATACTTAGATAGGAAATTTTCAGGTAGCATAGTGAATTAATTGCTGCAGGTATAGAAGATGTCCAATTTTAAGTGCTGTCCACAGTGAATGCAATTTACCCATCCAGACTACATGAATTCTGTCATCTTTTCATTTATTTGTAGGTGCAGCGTGGATAATTCCTTTGCTGTAGGTGAAATGAGACACCTGTTTCTATGCATTCATGTGAGGGCAGGCTATAGTGGCTGTCTGCACATTTCCTCAAGCCTAAGAATTAATTACATCGTGTTTCAGTGGCTGCATTTCATACTTGAAGCTAATGCCACCATTACGCGTCTGGTTTTGCTGTACTTAGTTTCAAGATGTAGTAGTCGCTGCCCTTTAAATCCCAGAAACATGGTTTCCTGCAATTTAGCCTCTAACTTTATATTTCTAGAAAGTTGCTGGATATTTTGGATGCTTCTGCCTTTAAATAGGAGGTGGTAATGCTTAGGATATCTTTTGGAATGTATAATTTAAGATGGTTTTAAAACTTGAGAGTGAACAGGTTTTTCTTTTTTATTTTCTGTTTGCAAATACTTTTGTCCAAGGGATCAATGGCCTTTTTCTCCCAAAGATACGAGTTTTTTCTGTAGCCAGATAAAGTCCTTCCATAACCCGAGAGTTTTTTTCTTTTGTCTGCATTCCTTCCCAGCCATGACCAGCCTGATGTTTTCTCAGTCTAGTGTTGAAATTTTATTCAAGTTGTAAATATTTATTTGCAAATCATGCCTTCAGATCCACACTTGCCAAAAAGATTTTATCCTGTCATGAGACACTTGACTCTCTACCTCATTTCTCGTTGCAGGCTCTGTTTTAGTTCTTTGCTTTGCATTTAGTAATTTCTAGTTTTTATTTCTGCTTAGTGCCATTTTCCTCACTTGTGTGTCTCATTGATCCAGACTGGTTTATAGTATGAATAAAATGCATCTCAGGAGGTTTGGAAGTTTGGGTTTTCCTTTTTTTAGATGGACAAAGCCTGATGCAAAAGGTTCCTGCTGGCTTTTAGTTACACTTGTCATCCATTTATTATTTAGCCTGTCCCAAAATAACTTTGTTAAAACAGATACATTTCTTTATATTTCATTGTCTCAGCTTAGGTACCCTGATGGCTCGAAGGTCACATTCAAGTTTGTTTTAGCAGCTGTGATGATTGTAAATGTTGAGATAGTTCTTTTTGTCAGGATTTGCAGTGAAATTGCTTGTCTTTCACTGCGGTCCTTGACAAAGTATTGTACCATGAACTTCATTGTGCTAGGTGGATTACAAAAAACCACTTCAACAAGTTACCCCCTCACTACACTCACAAATTACCTGTCCATCTGTGTATTCCATTTATGTCATAAAATTATCTGTCCTGAGTTGCATACTTTTCACTCTGTTGCGAATTTTTTTATGTGTCTGTTTTCTGTGTGTGCACACCCAAGCGCGCACACACACATTTATGTGTATGTTCTACATTTATTTATTTGCATTCTTCTGGGAGCGATGCAAAGGAATTTTTTGCCATAGGGTTCTCATGTAATTCAGTTGCTGAAATGTTGCTGCTCTCTTTGCAATTGGGATTCAAGAGCATCATGGAGTGGGGAACATCCCAGGGTAGTACAATATTTGTATTCTAAATATAGCAAATACCACAAATACCAGAGAAGCAAATGTCTGTATCCCAACATCAGATTGATCCCCAGGACAATTCAGTTCCCAGACTGAGGAAATTTAACGTATTAATTTCTTGTAATCTCTTCTTTTAAAGCAGCTTGATTCAGGATTATTCAACTATCCTGTAGTTCCCATGGTCCAAGATACCTGACTCTGAGAGCAGAGTTGCATGGGATACTATACTTTTTGCCTATTTGGCAAACTTTTCGTGTAGAAAGTCAATTGTAATATTGGGGTATGTTATGAAAAATCAAGGTTATCAGTTCCTAATGTTACGCCTCATTTTATTTATGCTATTTTGGCTTTATTTTACCATCTTTTCACAGCTTTGAACCTGAGAACAAGTTCTTTAACAAGTGCCTTTTTCCTCTCAGACAAAATAAGTCAGCAGGACTTTGTGTTTCTGTAAAATGTAGGTTGCATGGTGGCCAAAGCATAAAGCCAATCCAAAGCCTGCAATCCATCCAACATCTGTGCAATGTAGCACCAGGATCTTACAGGCTATTTTGTTTTCATGGCCAGTATGCACGGTGCCTTTTTCTTTCATGTTCCTGTAAGAATGTACACCCAAAGCATCATTCAATATCAGGTTTACACAGGGATTAAACAGGGTTGGAACAGCCCAGAAAGCCATTCTGGCACCTCCTGCCAGCATAACTCTTTTATTTGAAACTTGAGCCATGCTTTGCCTTTCGATAGCCATTTTTTTGGCTTCTTACTGAAGGTGGGAATTTCCTAGGAAGGACCCAATCAACTCCAGCCAGCCCATCTGCACACCCAAAAAAATGGAGCAAGAGAGAAGACATGTAGAGTGCGGGAGGGACAAAGCAAAGAGGCGAGCAGAAGGGAAGAGACTGGACTGGAGGAGTGGGAAAAAAAATGGAAGAAAACAGGGAAAGTGAAGAAGGGGCAGTTGGAAAAGAGATGCAAGAGTCCTATTCAACAAAATCTGTTATAATATCTGGGACATGCATTTTTCCTAGCCTGTGTAGTGCTTAAGCTAAGCCTAGGGCTTGCTATGTTTTTAAGTGTCCTAAAACTGGCTTTGAGCTCTTTTCTGGGTGGGTTTGGCAAATGCAAGTGATCTCGTTTCTCCTTGGGACTGTTTCAGGGAGGAGCTTTGCATCTTAGCATATTAATGAGTCTTTGTAGTTAGTGGGAACCACTGTCTTTAAGAAGATGAGCTTGTGCGTGACAGCTCAGAACCGGGGAGAAAGTGAACAAAGGAGAGTGGGGAGAAGGAGAAGCAGCAACTATTGAAATAAGATATTAATAGGTTAGAAGAAGCAGAATTAATAAAGACTTTTTAAAACATGCCATCAAGAACCCTGCCAGTGCAGAATTATTCATGTACATTTACTATTGTTTTTATCTGGCTCAAGCAGTAAGATTTCTACTGCTTCCCTTGGGAAACTTTTCTGCAAGAGAATAATTCCTAAGTTGGGAAAACTTTTTTGATATTCGTCTTAAATTAGATTTTCTTAATTTTCTCCTATTACTTTGAGCTATGTCAAGTTATGCTGTACTAAACTTCCCTCTCTTTCTGTCATATATCTGTAGATGATTATCACTGTCTTACTTAAAACCCTTGCAACAATGCATGCTAGCTATGAGCATGACATAGCTATGATCCCAGCGTTGAGCTGATCTATACAGGCTGAATTCTTTTTGCTCCTTCCTTGTCAGCTCTCCCCAAGTGTTTTAGCATTTCTTCAGGCTTTGTTTGGTTTGGGAGCACTTTTCTGGAGGAGGGGTACCCAGGCAGAGCATAGCATGCCAGACGCCATCACATACAAGCCACGGAGATGGAGCCTCTACACTTCATTCCTGGATGATGTTTTTGAGTGTACAGACCAAAATAGCCTTGTCTGTATTCTTACTGCAGCCTGATGGTGCAAACCAGGTCTCACCCACTGCCTGTAAATCTCTTTCAGCTTTACAACTTTCCAGTCGTCTTCCATTTGTCAAACATCTGTGCTTTGGATTTTTTTTTTCTTTGCATTTCTTAGCTGTATTTTCCAAACAGAAGCTTATTCTATTATTTTCTATTTCCACTTCTAATGTCTCTAGGTTCTTTCTTGTTATTTTCCTGTCCTGGCAAGCTTTCATATTATCTCCTACTCTGCAGATACTGTTACTGTCTGATTTGTTGCTGCTTCTAGAAGATCCATGAAAATATTGCCTAAGAACAGACTTAGCACATGTCCCAGGGAGCGTGCTGGTTGCACTACTGCCGAAAAAACTTGAAGGGTAGGAGAAGAGGTTATGGTGGTGTTCATACCCATGGCCTCAACAATTTGGGTAAAGCCCAAATTTGACTAGACCAAGTAAAACAAGTCTAAAAAGGACAACAGGAGTCAGAGATGACATTACGCCTATGGGAGGGGATGAGGGGGTAATATTAGGCTGATCAAGTAAAATGGGAAGTAGACGTGTTCTCTTTCTGTTTCATGGGGAGGAAAAGATGATTAATAGCAATGGAAATAAGCACATGCTTTGGTAGTTTGTAAGATTTCTACCGCTGCGTTGTTTTTAGCTTATATTGGAGTCGTGTTCTCTCAACATCTCTTCCCCTCACTGTGCTTATAAAAGCTCGAGCAGGAAAACACGCTCAAAACAGTGTGCATGAGGGTCAGCCAAGCTTCTCCTTTCTGGAAGAGAAATTGGGATCTGGTTGTGGTGATTGGGATCCAGCCTTGTGTGCTCTGAAAATGCAAAGACAGCTTCTGTGCCTGCCTGGGTGAAGCTCTGCTGTCAGGTGGCTCGTGCTAGCCTGGAGGCTGTTGTTTGTCTCCTCCAGGAGAGATGGAAGGTTGGATGGAGCCATCCTGCAGGTTGAGTTGTGAACCATCAGTTGGGTCACCTTCGTTTCAGTGCGTGTGCTGGGAAATAGGACTCCTAAGCCTCAACTGCTAGCTCTTCCATAGGCTCTTGTTCTCCCGTACCTTTGTGGTATCATTCTGAGACATGGGATATTTAAGACAGTGAAGCTATGTATCAAGTGGAGTCCCACTGAGGTTCTAGATACTATCACCATACAAAAAATGATAATAGCACATTTCATTAATTCTTTCCACTTCAGTTTTGCTCTTGCACTTGTCTTCACGGTGGATTCTGTACCGCTGCCCTTAGTTTAGCCAAGAACCAACACACCCATTTTTCTGTAGGAAGTGATGGGCTTTTGCTCTCCAGGCTAGGCAGGATGCCTGCAATTCTTACCTTCCTGGGTCTTGACTGTGTCTCTAAATACTTGAAGCTGTGGTCAGGCGTTGCTTGTGGCTACTGATTACTGCTTCTTAAAATTCATCTGTGTCCGCAAGTATTTAAAAAGCATTTTCCACATCTGTCCCTGGGTGCCCTGGCCCATCAAACTAAACCACCAGTCTGGTTTTCCACAGCTGTCAATTTTGCTGGTCTCATTTCCACTCGATGGCAGGGAGGAAAGCAACAACTGTGCAGTGTCCAGTTTTCCATTCTTTGTCTCACAGCGAGCTGTCAGGATCTGGCGTGGTTTACAGAGCCTCCTCCGTTTGAAGTTCTTTTTTTTTTCTTTCTGGCACTTCAAATGCTTTTGGAGGCCCCCGAGGTTGAGAACCAGGTTTGTCAGACAGAGAGGTCACACAAGGGTTACTGATGCTATCGCTGAGAGTGAACTGTCATCACCAGACTCAGAAATTATGAACGGGGTGCGGAGGTGGAGACCTCGGTAGCTGCTGCTGCTGCTGATCCAGAGATACCTGGGAAGCGTGGCAGCTCCTGATGGTGCTGTGGCTGTTTTGGAGCAGGGTGGCCTCAGGAGAGGGATGCAAAAGGGACCTTGTCCCCAGAGGAGAGCACCCAGCAGCTTCTGCTGATGCCAAAAGCTGTTGATGTTGGTGGAAGGATTCCCGCTGCTTTGGTGGTCATTGGATCAAGCTCCACCTGTACAATGCCTGTAGGAAGAAGGACAGTGTTTAAATCTTAGTTATATTATTGCACTTGAGTACACCAACCTTTCCTATTTTCGTACTTTCATGCATTTCTGAATGCTTTGACAGTGAAGGGTAAAATGTTTCTTCTCCTTTTCCTTTGTCTATCCCCACTTTCTGCCTCTGCTTCCAGTGTTCACTTGGAGAAGGAGGAATAGAGAAGTGGCTTTTTCTGTGGCAGACATGACATCTGCTTCTGTCTTTTCTGCCCAGCCTATAAGTAAATGCCATCTTTATTTCCCCTTTCTTCAGATGAGGGTATCATCTTTATGCTGTACTCCTGCCTTGTAGTTTTGACCAGCAGGCACCAGGCAGCCTTCGACATCCACGGGGAATCTACCCAGGCAGAAATGATGCTGGCTGTCATATAACAGTGTGGAATAAACTGCACAGTACCAAGGAAGACCCTGGGATTCCTCTTTGGTACCTGGGAAGGTTTTCTTTTCAAGTCATTTATGTCACTGCAGAAGGACTTAAGGATTAATTAATTATTTTTGTATTGGTAAAACTGCATTGTATTTATTCACACGTGAATCTCCATCAAAAATGCATGCTGGGATGGCTACTTACGGTTTCTGTCTATGGTGATCAAACACTATGTGAGCAGAAGGTTCCTCAGTAATTTGTCACACAATAAAATCTTAGTAGAGTGGGAATGACTCTGCTGGTGACTGCACGTACATTGATGATTGTCTGCTCCAAAACCCTTAAATCTTGTTAAAATAATAATATGAATAGGTTGCTCAGCAGTAACAATACATGCAACACTACAGAATATAAACCCTGCTTACAGATAAACGTTCTTGGCATTAAAGAGGTTTTAACCTAAAAGGATGGAACCCATGAGGGGGACATTTTAAGTTTTATCCTACTTTGTAATTGTAAATTCCCTTCTAGTAGGGCCTCATTGGTAACAAGATATATATTGAATTAGCTAAACAGCTAATTGATGAAGCTCTGGTTTTATAATGAGCGCCTGTAAATAATGGATACAATTCATCCACGGTGTCCAGTAACACCAGTGAAGTCAATGAAATTACACCAGGATTGAATTTGATTCCTTCTGTCTTTGCTTATCAGCAGTACAACTTGCCCAGACATTTTATGGGGAAGCATTTGCCCTAGGCTGTTTATGCTGGCTACACTTAAGATTTGGAAGGCGAAGGCAAAAAAAAAGAGCAGCCGTAGGAAGAAATCACAAAAATACTTTGTGTAATGTTCTACCTTCTTTTTGTCTCTCTAATAACAGGGCAGCACGCTGAGAAAGCGGAAGATGTATGAAGAATTCCTGAGCAAGGTCTCCATTTTGGGTCAGTTGCCCTTTGGACTTGCCTGTTAGTTCCTGTGTTATATGTGTTGGCAGAATGTATTTTGGTCTTTGATGGCACGATGAAAGCAATGGTGGTCAAACAGAAGGTTTCACAGTTGCGTCATTTCCAAAGGAATGAAAGCGTAAAGGGCCCTTTTTAGGACTTATTTTTCTCATTCTTTAATATGCACTGATCTTTTGTTTAAAGGGCAAATCTTTTCTTAAATATGGGAGCAGGCATGCACCGGTAACCTTTTTTTAGTAGATGCTGTTGCAGTAGAGATCATATGGATAGAGGAGAAAGCAGTGCAGAGATATGAATTTGTCATAAAGTCTAGTTACATCCTTCCAGGTGACAGGTGAGAAGTTTTTTCCTGTGAGAATACTGTATTTATGTGCACTAAACAAACTAACCTCACAAATCAAAATGGTGTGGTGTTGCTTTTTTTTCCTGTGTATTTTACAACCCCTGTCTCACATTCTTAAAACATCTGTTTAGCTTCTTGTCCTTGGATTTTGTTGCCCTTTGATTAATGTGATAGCCACGAAATTTGGACATGTTCTTGATGGCCTTCAGTAGGAAAAACAACAAACCCGTAATGCCTGACCAATCAATCACCATTAGGAGAACAAAAGCTCTAATAAGGAGGACGGTGTTAGACAGTACAACGAAATGTTCATGGTATAGGATAAACATCATGTTTCTGCTGAGGCTATTTTGCAAATAAAAAAAAAGCAGTACAGGATTAATTTGCTATGTAATTAAAATACTTACATTTCTATTTCAACAATTTTCTTGTTCATGGTATTCCTCTGCCATTTGACCTTATTTACCTGAAATATGAGAGTCTTAGCGAAAATATACTTGAACTTCTGAGAGGCACTATGCATGAAATTTTCAATTACATTTGTATGCTTAAAGTAAGGCCAAGTATGTTGCTCACTTATTAATGAAGTTTTCATCACTTAAATGCTTTATTTTATGCTTAATTTAAATCTTCCTAAATTAAGAGCACAAATTATACCAAATTACAATGAGTATTTAAAGAAAAAAGGATCTCTGCACCTGCACTAATGAGACGCAATTACAACAATGAGACATCTCAAAACAATTTCAGAGTAGAAAGGTTATTCAAAGATGCACTTCCTTAAACATGCGGTTTGCAATATAATTATATCCTAATTTGTAGTATGGCTTTTCAATCTCAGTAAAAAATGAGGTAGGACTTCAAGATTTGAACCATTTTTAAGTACGAAAAAGCACCAGGCAAAATAACACTACATTTCAGGAGCATCGAGAATTTAGGTGAAATGTGTAAGGATCTATTTCACATGTCTAAAAAGTAGATGACAGCTGGAAAACAGAAAGGTATTTTAGAAATCGCAACACAGCACTGAGAAGTCAGCTTCACTTCATGCCTTAATTTGGTCAGAACTTAGTGATTTCATGGTGGAAAAACCTCTATCTGCTCCTTATATATATTTTTTAAGGCTTGTGTAGTGTCTGTAGCTAGCCATATAACTGTAAGAGCAATTTATTATTTTTTTTATATCTAAGGATTTTTTAGATTATCGGTAACTGTTTATAGTGTACTGAACAATGCACTATAAATGTAGGAAATAGATATATATGGAATATATATTCCTCAATATCAATGAGGAAACTAATTGTTTAAAATCTTTCTTCTGGAGTTTAATTAAATATAAAACCATGAATCGATACATACAATTTAGAAATTGCAAAAAATTGTATGTGGTCTACTTTATTTGATGCTTGACTTTTACTCTGCCACTAAAACTTTAGGAGTTTTATATAATGTTCTGTTTGCAAGAACCATTAACCAATGTATTTGTAGTGGTACAATTCCCTTAGACAAAAGAGAGACACTTCGTGACTACAGCTAGAATTAGCTTTGAATTTTTCATAAAGCCAACTGAAGAAGTTTCAAGAGACTCTTTCTTTTCATTGTTAACTACTGAGGGGTTGGGGTTTTTTTAAATGAAAAAGCCTACTCTAGTCTGTATGAAAGAGTTTTATGCTTATTTTTAGTCAAACAAAGCACTTTTTGAATGTTGCATTGACAATATGGGCTTGGTCTTTGATATTAATGCCTCTGCAGCAAAGGCCACAAATACACCAGGAAAGTGCATTAGTGATTATAGGTGGGGGAAGCACTAGAAATAATTATTTCCCAAACAGCAACAGAAAGTGGCATGAAAACATGAGGATGTATGTGTGCCAGCCAACTCAAAACTTACCTTTGGAGCACTGATCACTTTGATCTGGTTTTGTTACCAGATTCAGTGTGCACTTCTGAGCTCAGCCAAAAGGCTTTTTAACTTTTAAAGAACTCACACAATACTTCTAAGCAATATTTTGATCAAAATGGAAAAACTAGAGTCTGAGAGAACAGCCCAGATCTAATCACGGTGTCAGGAGCTGTGTCTTGACTTACAATATTTTAATAATTTGTAATAAGTAAGAATCGGCAGAGCTCTAGTACATGAATTTTAGTCCAGATTTTTGAGGCAGTGAAGGTTATATCACTGTATTATCTGTTTCTTTTAATAACTTTTAAACCTGTCAATTTTTTCAGCCAAATCTGATAAAGGTACAGAACTTCAAGTACAATTCATTGTCTTGAATTCTCATGCAAAGGGATAGAGTGACACACAGGTCGGCAGCCCTCCTCTCCCGGAGAGCAGGGCAGGTGGAATTCATCCCTGCGGGATGAGGGCAGCAGGACAGTGAGCAGCCCTGGATGAGCCGCTGTGCAGCCTGTCTTTTGCCATGTGGGTATCTCAGGGGGTTTGTGGCAGCTGCAGGTGGGTGACAAGGACACCAAGCCACAGGAAACAGACTGCATTAGCTCCATTGCTCATACAACAGACTGGTAATTTTTTCTTATTGAAGTTTACTTTGAAGTTTTATAACTTTTCTCCCTAAGTGGGGGAATGAAAAGAAAAACGCTTTGTGAGCTGTCCCACTGGCAAATGTAGCGGAGGTGCCACTTCAAACATCCATACCGAGCCTCTGGTCCCACTGCCACCCGTGCTGCCAGGGTCTGCCGCTGGCTTCAGTGGTGCGTGGTCTTACCCATGGGGGAAGAGTCATCTTTTGCATTGGCACTTTTGCGTCACTTACCTAGCAAGCCATCGGTAACTGGCTGAGAGAACCTCTGACGAAAAGGCAGTAGGACTTGTTCTGACATCTGGTGTGGGATGTGGTGAGAGAGGATCTCGGCGCTCCCATGTCGCTGGTATCTCCAAGCAGCTCCTAGACTACTCCAATCTGCTGCAGCATCAGGGCAGTGCAGATCAGATCACAGGTGGAGGGAACAGGAGCCAACTCTTCCTGTCCAACTTTTAAGATTATTATCTGGGTGATTACTAAAGTCTAAGATACAATGAAAAAATACATTGCTATTTTCCAACTGGAGGTTCGTGCTAAGTGCCTGGATGAAAGAAATGGTTTTTTTATAACAGAAGCGAGCAGAGCAGAGCTGTCAGTTTAGATATAAATCTTCATCCAAAGTTAGAGTCTTTTTATAATAAAGCTTTATGATCTTCAATATTTTAGAGTCCCTGGACAAATGGGAACGGCTGACAGTGGCTGATGCACTGGAACCTGTCCAGTTTGAAGACGGAGAAAAAATTGTTGTGCAGGGAGAGCCTGGTGATGACTTCTTCATTATTACAGAGGTAAGATCGGCATCCTGATAAGCTCTGTCATTTCCTGGTAAAGATCAAGACTTTGTATTAAAGACATTTGGGTTCTGTTTAATCTCTTATTTCAGCATAAATCTGATCTCACTCCCCTCAAACCAGGAGAATTGCTCAAAATTCAAATGAATTCAGACACCAGTTCAATGGAAATGTCTTAAGTGGGATGTTTCCTAATTTCCAGTAAATTGAAGACACAGAGGAATTTTGAGGTGTGTCTAGAGTCTTTACTGTTTGAAGGTTTGTTTTCTGCATGATATTTTTCTTATTTAAATTACCGGTACTTTAGCAAGGCTGGCCAGCCACACAGTGCATTGATCATTGTTCCCAAAGGGACTTACAAGGGAAATCACAAACGAACATCTGTAAACTGGAGCAGGAGATCTGAAAATGGATAATTTGTTCTTTGTTTTGCCTTAAACTCAGTCCAAATGGCAGAGCCATTTTCTTGTTTGCTCTCACAAAGGCAGACAGATCTGTCAGGCAGCTGAAAATGCTGACATCTTTTTGGGAGATTATCTGACACTATAGTTCCACCATCTCACTTCTGCAAACAAATGCTGACGGGATTTTTCCTCCCTTTCTGACATAAATATTTGGATCCTTGATATCTCATACAAATACCTAGGCGCTGTGATATAACAAGTTATAAAAAGGTATTAGAGAGGCTCAGATTAAGACTAACAAGACAGCATTAGGATATGATTGTATATGTATTGAAGTTGGAGCTTTTCAGTACCAGCTGTGAGAGTTCATACGCAAATATATAGACTGGGAATGACCAACATATGGCTGTGTGGTGACAGTTCAAGTGCAAATCACAGGCCAGATGATACATGACCAGCAACAAGGCAGTGTGGCAAAGGAGCTAGGAGGTAATCTGAATCCCTCACTGTGGGAGAAGGTGGGTCATATGGATGTAAGGAAGCTGGTATCATTGTGTTGCCTTGGGCTCCAGTTGTACGTACACAGGGTACATCTCTGACTCCGTCAGGCTGCTGTGTTGTGATGGGATTTAGGAGGAAAGAGACCCTGCCCCGCTCAGGTGATAAAGGGGTTGTACAGCACCCATTGCAAAATGGCTTAGAGGCCAACGGGCTTCCCTTTGCTCTCCTTATCTGTGAATTTTTGGACAGATGCCTCTATCCAAGGCAGCCAGAATTTGGTTCATAATCAATATCTGACACTTAAAATTCCATTCTTTCTTTCCTCTTGAATGTTGGACGCTGGTGCTGAAACACATACTTGATTTATGAACGTAGTTTCTCTTCTGATGCAAATTGTCTGTGCAAATAACTGCACCTGTGTATCACACAGTTGGACACTTAAGGAACTTTAAATACGTGATGAGCAGTGCCCCTTCAAAACAATAGTGTCAGAATAAAAGAGACTAATACTAGAAGGGGATTTTTTTTCATTAACAAAATACTTAGTATATAACAAAAGTTTTTATTTCCACTAGTGTTACTAAGTGTCCTGTTACTTGCAGCAGCACGAGACTAGGAAAACCTGGTTTTCTTAGCTATCGAATCCCATGTGGAAAATTGGCAGCTTGCTGAAGAATTACCGAGGGCCCTTATTTTCCCCCTCTTGATGGAACAGCTGTTAAGACTTGAATGGGTAGAAAAGTATTAACACTGCATACTGCATAATCATAAAGTATCTGCTCACCTCACCCTTCCACTATAAATCTAACATAGTTTCACACTTTGGAAATTGCCTAATTTTTCTGCATTAAAGAATTAACATCCAGTATCAACTATTTCTTGTGCTGCAGTAGTATTTGTGCCCACTCACACATAGTTTAAGTTTTGTATTTTAAACCTGATTTCACAGGAGTTTATGTCTTTGATGTTAAACTTTTCTGCAGGAAAGCTGATGTGAGCCGCCAGGAACACATTATTCTACAAACAGGTTGAAAGTACTTTTGGCTGGTTTGTTGTCACAATATGTTGAAAAGTCATTAACTTCTTTCATATGTTTTTTGATGTTTGCAGCCTTATAATCCAAAACACTCAAAATGCAGCCAATTTGTTTGGCTGCTGTATATACAGAAAGCATTTCATATATCACCAGAATGCAGCCTCCTTTGGAGTACTCTGTTGTCCAGTAGTATAAAACTAAGCTTTGCCGTGCAATTTTGGGGCATGGTACTTATTTGTTATAAACCATGGTCATTCATGGCATGCCATAGTCAAATCAGTTACCAATTTACAAAGCTTTGGTGCACCAGCATCACAAATACCGGTTCCACGTGGGATCTTGTGACTCCTATCATAACAGCTTCTCTAGGACACCCAGGACTCACGCATGTATTTTAAATTGTTAGCACAGTTTTGTATGAACTTCATAAATTAATCATTCATTTCTGATTAGCCTGCAATGCTGCCTTCCTCTGTGACATCCCTTTGGGATACCATCTTTTAAGTATATTGGTGCTGCAGAAAGACATAGCCTATAATTGAATTGACACCTTCAGGATTTGCTGACTGAAGTGCAGCCATTAAACCCTTTTGAAAGGGAGATTTCCAGCCTCGGTGATGATCAAAACAGCAATTCCTACTTTAAGCCAGCAATATCATCCTGGTTAGTATGGACAAGAATATTTAGTCTCCCCCTTCTGTCAAGCAAGCACATTCACCTTTACTCCTTTTTTCTTAGTATAATCTTTTTTTCATGGCTTTCTGTCCACCTTCTTATCTCCAGTGTTGCACAGCTCATAGTGGGGTACAGGTTATTTGATGTGCAGGCTGTATGCATGAAAATGCTGCAGTGCCCCATGGACAGCAAGGCTGCAGCAGGAGCTCAGCCAGAGTATTAGAATAACAGAAAATGTGCACAGGGAACTGTCACAGGAAACTGGGGCTTTTTAAGTTCACTGCTCACAAAGCTGTTTATGGCTCATTTTTTGTTAAAACGTCTAATGAGAAAAGTATTACTCCGAGATTCCAGGACAGCTACAGTTTTTCTGCCATCCTGAATTTTCACAGGCACCAGTAAGATGTTTACTTGCAGTAGGTTGGGTGCTTTTACATTTAAATCTCAAGCAGCCTTCAACAAGATGTAGTTTTAATATTTAAAGGCTGTGATTTTTTCCATAGATAGAATTATTTTAATGTTTATACCATATTTCTTAATTTGAAGATAGGATCAGAAGTGAATGTCTGCTTACAAAAGCAAAGTAACTGCTTCTGTGAGATTGATTTACTACACTTGAAACTGGTAATTAAAAAAAAAGAAAAAAAGAAACAGCCCTGCAGTTTCTGTATTTTCAGATATTTCCAGGTCTTATTTTCCCACTCTGGTTTTCACACAACAAACTCAGGCTTTCCCAGACCAGACAGATGTGGAATGTATCTGCTGGATTCCAAGGTCATGGAATTATCCCATATGAGATTCCTGGCACAGAGGTGAAAAACTTTAAGCACCATGAAACAATTGTTGCCATAAAGAATTATATTTTGGCAAGCGTAAATCATAACAGATGTACAGTTTCTAACAAATAAATTTGCAGTTGTACTCTGCCACACTGTGTACCCAGCAGTAGGGAGGATTTATTCATCTGACTTCAGATAACGCAAATATTTTTAGCTAGCATTTTAAAGTGGTAGCTTGCAAAGGCATGTGAGCTTTGCGGAGTTAAATATCCCAGCAAACATTAAGTCCCTTTAAACGAAATGCCAGTTGAACGGGGGCTGATTTTATTTCCAACTCGTGCTTTGCCAGACTTCAGCTTGAACAGTAGTTCAAACTACTGTAGTAGTGCTCTGAAACTGGAAAGAAATGAGGGTTTTGCTGTCGTCTAGGTTACTGAGAAAGGTAGCGACAATAGTATTAAAAATAGCGGTTATGATCATGTACCACTCTCTTAAGTTCAGCTTTGAACTTGGCTGGGTGGCACAGCACCTCCAGGTCTGTAACCCAGCTGCCAAAAACGCACGGACCTGCAGCCATGAAGTGCCCCACTGGGTTTTCCAGCTCCCACCCCTCCCCACGTCAGATCATTTGGATCTACTTGTCATGACCAAGCACCGCATACGGCACATGGATATTGTCACGGGACTCCACCGACTGTGCTCAGGGAGTCTTTCAACCTCAGCTGCGTACTGAGAGCTTGCTGAACTGCTGCCATATGGCCCTAATACTCCATAAAGTTTGACATGGCTTAAGAAAAATGCCTGAACAGACACAAACGTACACAGGTGTAGGAGGAGAGAACAGCAAAAGGTTTATAATAGTGCCACTCTGCGCCCCAACAGCACAGCTTGTAGCTGTCCTTTAAATGTGCTTTCCATAGCCTGTCATCTCCTCGGAGGACAGTTTGGTCTAAGTGGTGCAGAAAGCAAAGAAATAAAACTGCGTGAGAAGCAAAACATTTCCAATTAATAGTTGGTCGAGTTGCCCAACAATAGCATGCAGCAGCCTAAAAATAAAAGACCTAAAAATAGAAGATAATTCACAGGAGAAAATTCAAGGAGAAATGGCCCCATTGTATCAAGTAGTTTCACATTAGATTTTTGTTTTTAACTTTAGTATATTTAATTGTAGATTAGTGCTAAGTTACAGGGGGTAGTTGCACCCTCCTCTGCAACTCCTTTGTGAAAAGCACTTCAAAAAAGCTGGGGATTTGTGTTCTTTGTTATTATCCTACTGGTTAGAGAGGGGGCAGAGTCAGGGCATCTGATTTGTAGTCTCACCTGTATTCTCAGTCCAGTCTGTGGGCAGAACATTACCCTCCCCATTTCCCCATCAGTGTGAATAATCCTGATGACACTTCATAAAGGTGAGCAAAAGCTTCATGGGAAAAGGTATAAAGTATCTGTCAGTACTGAAACCAGGCAGTGGGAATAGCAAAACTGGCAAAGAGAAACATTTTCATTGATAGTGCAGAAATCCTTCCAGAATTAATGCATAGAGCTGCCTGATTGACTAAAAGAAGTAAAATTAGTTGGTAACAATTAGTTGTCCAGCACTATTGT